TACAAGGGGTTTTACTGTTCATTCCGAACAGTACTTTTCCCAACCCATCCAACCTTATCTTCCTAGATTTCCATGTGCCACGTGGCACTCTACTTTTCTACCTTCACAATTCCTAGTCCCACAATCTACTTTCCAACCTTGTTTCTTGCATGCTATATCAACCTTGCTTGTAATCCCTCATATCAACCAATTCTCATTCAACTCTTCTTCAATTACTCAGTAACTCCTTCGCCTATTTCGCTAGTAGTCTTTTCGCCAAAGTCTTCCGCCGCGTTTTATCCTCGACTTAGTCGACCCCGCTAATTCTTTAGCGGACTTAGGCCGTCGGGCCTAACACTTGGTATCAAGAGCCTTCGCGGGGAGCGACTTCCAACGAGCGGCCGTCGACGACGAGACTACGACGTCATCGTCCCGCGGTGCCGACTTGCAGACTTGGAGTCGTCGAGCGAACATGGACGAAACCATGCACGCTCTCTTCCACGACATGGGCAACACGCTTGCCGAACTCATGCGCCAACTTCAAGAGTTGACGTTGGAAAATCGTCAGGTACGAGCTGAAATGCAACAGCTTCGTGAATTGGCTTCTAACCCCCATGGTCATGCCGCACCAACTCCTGCACCCACCACGTCAACTGGTGCGGAAGCGCTGCCGGAACGTCGAAGCGCACTCAAGCCGCAGAAACCCGAGTCGTTCGACCCAAGTCAACGCGACGCGAACGTGCGGACGTGGCTCTTCATGCTCAACAACTACTTCGCCGCGAGCGGGGTGCAAGAGGCGGACGCGCAGCAGCGGATCGAGTATGCCGTGACGCTATTGAGGGGGCCGGCCTTGGAGTGGTGGCGCCAACTTACGCAGACTGCTGTTAGAAGGGCTCAGACGGACGGGCATCAACAGGGCGTGGGGCATGCAGCTGCAATCTCGAGCTTAGGAAGTCTAGCTTTGGGTGTTACCACGGTTCCGACCACATGGGAAGGATTTGAAGCGGCGCTGAAAAGTAGGTTCGATTTGGTGAACGCCTCCGAAGCTGCTATGAAGTGTCTGCGTCATTTCCGACAGATAGGCAACGTCCAGGAGTACACACGACGGTTCTTGAGCATCTGCAACGAGATAGACTGCCTCCACGGTTGTGACAATGCGGTTGTCAGTGAGATCGAGCACCTCCCAGCCCTTGCTCTCTGACGAAACACCAAGGTGAATGCCCCAGCGTGCCTTCGGCGCCAACTTTCCGCCGCGCTGCTGCTCCGGGACCATGAACTGCACCATGCAGCCCCACACACGCGCCATCGTAAGGTCCGGCTTCTGCGCGAACAGCAGCTCATACGGCGTCGTCCTCGGAGGAAGGGAGGCCCGTTCGAGGCAGTTGCGCACCCAGACGGCGTGACGAAGAGCGAGGTGCCACCAGTGATGCTGCACGCCCATGTGCAGCAGCATCGTCCGCACAGATTCGACGACCGTGCGCATCTCTCGCTCCGCCATGCCATTCTGCTGCGGAGTGTAGGGGCAGGTGAGGTTGTGGAGGATACCCTTGTCCTCGACAAGTTCGGTGAATTTCCTGCCAAGAAATTCGCCTCCGCGATCCGAGCGCAACCTTTTCACCGTCATCGAAGTCTGTCGCTCCACTTCCTTCAGCCACTTCTCGAAAACGACCAGCACGTCGCTCTTCTTCGCGATCGGGCGAACCCACACAAAGCGGGTCTTGCGGTCTTTGAGGAGGAGGAAGTAGAGGCTCCCATCTGCGGCGGCCACACGGATCAATGTGCACGACATCGAAGGCGTTTGCAGCCTCTGATCCCATCTCTGGAAACGTATGACGCGCCAGCTTGCCGCCAACACAGGAGGCACACGTCACGTCGGCTCCAGTGGACTTCTCGATGTCCAGGCCGATGGCAACTTCATGCTTCGCCGAGCTCATAATCGTGTCGATGCCGACGTGCGCGAGCCTCGCGTGCCACTTAGCCGGCTTTGACTTCGTCGCCGAGGCGATCGTCCGCAGAGCAACTGCTTCTGTCGCAGATGTAGTCGATTTCGAGGAGCAGGGGCGAAGGTCGGTGCAGAGAACTCGGCCGGTGTAGCGTGCTCGACCGAGCACATCTCCTGCAGCGGAAACGAGCAGCATCTCGTCACCCTCGTTCTGCAGCTTCACGCCGTTTTCCTCCAGCTGGCCAGAAGACAGTAGGTTCGCGTGTACGCCCGGAACGTACAACACGTCGGGGATGAGAATCTGCTTCCCAGTCTCCCCTTTCAGAGCAACTGTGCCACGGCCTTCGACGTTCTGAAGCGCCCCGTTGAATCCGCGCACGTGACGGATTTCTCCTCTTGGCTTCATTTCGACGAAGGCCTCTCGCGTTCCCATCAGATGATGGGAGCAGCCACTGTCGAGGAGAACTACAGTCGGATTCGCCTGGACGGCTGCTGCGACCGCCTGGAAGTCTTCGCCAGCCTCCGGTGCCAGCGAAATTGTTGGCTCGACCACGCCAACCATCGAACAAGAGGCTTTCTTTTCGCTCGAAGCATCACCCTCTGATTTCGACGCCGTTTTCGAGGACGCAGGCTTCTCCTTGCGCGGCTGGTTGTCTCGACGACGACTGTCGCTGTCAGACTTCCCGTCCTCTGAACGACTGGCGTTGTCAGACTTTCCGCGGCTCCCTCTCTGATTGTCGTCGGACTCGTCGCGATCAGGGCAGTCGTAGGAGAGGTGGTCAGGGTCTCCACAAATGTAGCAGCGGCGTCCTCCTCGACGCGAACCACTGCTTCCGCGATCATTGCCCTTCGCTGACTTTCCGCGGTCGGCGCTCTCCGTAGACTTGGTGTTCGACGACTTTCCGCCACCGCCTCCACCTCCGCCCGACTTCCCACGCTGCCCCGTCTGACGTCCCTGCTTCGTCGGAGCAACGTAGTTAGCCTGCGGAAGGAGCTCTGAAGACCGCTCAGACTCCTGCATAAACTCGTCCTGGATGATGTGACTCGAAAGCGAATCCTCGTTCAGAGTTTCGCGCGTGCCGGGCATTATCAGCATCCGTCGCATCAAATTGTAGCTCGAAGGGAGGCCGTTGATGACATGCGTGACATACGACGCCACCGAGTACTCGAAACCAGCCATCCGCATGTCGGCCAAAATTCGCCGCGCTCGATTGCAGTACTCGGTCGCCGATTCCTGCTCACCCATGCGAATTGTGGCCAATTTCTTCTCCAGTTGGCTGATGTAGAGGTCGTCGGTCGCTCTGTAGGTGCGCATGATGTACTGCCAAGCTTGGTAGCCGGCGTCCACTTGAAGTCGGCACTGCTTCAGCGCGACTTGCACCAGCGGCGAACAACACCTCGAAATGACCATGAAGGTCAGAAGGTGAGCAGCGCGAAATTCCGCCAGCATTTCAGAGTCGTCTTCGTCCGGCATCTCCACCTTGCCGTCAACGAACTTCTTCAATCCGGCGATCTCCAGCTGAGGTTCGATTGACTCAATCCATGTGATCAAGTCATGTCGTCCTTCGAGCGGCTGCGGCACAGCGATCTTGTCCGGCGAAAATTTGAAGTAGCCGTACGCTGGCGCGATGCCTCCGTCGCGACCAGCAGACGCATGAGTCGCCGATGTCGGCCTGGCTCCACTCCGCTGAGGAGAAAGGCGTCGACCATCGATGTTGCCGTTCGAACTTCCCGCTGCCGCCGAGCGCAGAACTCGTGCCTGCATTCCGCCGACGCCAAAGCCAGCGGCCCGAATCACTCCACGAAGCCTCGTGCTGCCTTCGCTGCCGACTTGGTTACCACCGTCGACCTGGTCGTCGACGCCGCCTTCGTTGCGTGCCGGTCGGGGAGTGGCGGGCAGTCCATCCGCCTCAGTACGGGTCGTTGGGTGCTCGCGCGCCCACTGCACGCGGGTTCCAAAGAGCATAACCTCCAAGGTTGCTCCGCCGTACTCGCCAGCTGCGTGGCGTGCCCGAACGTCATCTAACCGCGCCTGCAGGGTATCCTCTACGACTGCAGCGACCTCCTCCTGGTCGACCATGGCGGTTTAGACTGCCGGCCTACTCCAAGCTAGGTACTGAGCACTAAAGTCGGCTACTCTGAAGGTTCTAACGCGGGGCCGTTCCACGCTCACCGCACCATGCGGAGAGTCACCCTACAACGGGTGTGAACTACGAAGGAGTTCGTAGCGCTCTAGTAGCGTTCTAACAGAGTTCGTACTACTTGCTCTGTTCACAGAGAGATTTGGCAAGAGTTTCCACTAAGGAAATTGAAAGTACATTGAAAAAGTGAGAATTAGAGTACAAGAATGAGCATGCAAAGTGATATCTCTGGAATGGCATTGCAATCCCTAGCAAGCATTCTGCAAGGCGAATTGCCAGCACTGCATCAGAACGGTTCGCCAACGCTGAAACAGAGCGGTCTGCCAGCGTAGCAGAAGGGCGACATGCCAGCGCTGCAGCAGGGCGGCCTGCCAGCGCTGCATTCGCAGGTGAATATCTGCGCAGGTGTGCACCTGCCGAGTAGGTGCAGGTAGACGGTTACACCGTCAGAGACATTGCGCAGGTGCCAGGTAGAAAACGCTCCGACGGTTTCATCAGATGTCCACCGTCGAGCACGTGATGCCATTTCGGAGGTCGAATTTCGTGAAGGACCACCTGAGCGAATTTCGCATGCCCTCGCAGAGTTTCGTCGTCGCGCGAATTCGGCCGACCAGTTCGCCGAGCTGACGCTCGCCGAACAGCGCCCTTCGATCAGAGAACGCGGCTCCTCGGACAGCACCCCGTCCGTCAGAGATCGCGCGACCCAGAAGCAAATCAGAAGACGAGCTCGTCGAACAGCACCCCGTCGACCAGAGCTCGTTGACGGGCTGGTGAATCAGAGGACAACCTTCCTCGAAAACCACCCGCGGTTTCAGAGGACGGGCTGCTCCAATGCGACGATCACTTCGTCGAATTCACCACGTCGTCGCAGAGAATGCCTACGCCCAAGCGAGGGCGGGGCCTTTCACTCCGACATAGACGGCATCACGGAAGCAGAGATGCGCGATCGCTACCTCGAAGGGTTGAAGGCGGACATAGCGGAGGTCATAGCCATTCACGGGTTGTCCACCTTCGAGTCGGTAGTCGCAGCAGCAGAACGCGTCGACGCAGTACGAAGCCGACGGGGTCGTGACGATCGCGATAGGGGATACAACAGACCGATCAACGACGCTCGATCAAGGGACAGACCGTCGCCCATAGAGATTGGTGCAGTTAACAGTGACGGCTCACAGCGAACGGGGGGAACTATCACTACTGCAAAAAGCCGGGACACATGAAGCGGGACTGCCCACAGTTCAAGGAGCGGCAGCAGGGAAACGGAAACCGCCAGTAGATAGCGGGTCGCTAGCTGGTGTGGAGGTTCCCGTACCCGCCACGTCTACCAACGTAGAGGAGACGGCCTTGCAGCAGTCATCTACGGAGACCTCGGTAGACACTGTTGATCGTCCAGTCGTGCTTCTAGGGAAGCTTCGCGGAGTTCCTGTTAAGATTCTCGTCGATAGCGGAGCTAGCCACTCGTTCGTTTCGTCTTTGTTAGTTACTCGTCTCCATCTCGAAGCGGACACTTCAGTCAACTTCAAGGACGCTCGCATGGTAGATGGGACGCCGCTTCACATAGGACCAGTCATTCGCAAGTTGCGCGTAGTGCTAGGACCGATCACGGTTAGACGTGACTTCGACTCTGCGACGCTGGACGGTTACGATTTCATCTTCGGGAGAGATTGGCTACGCACGGTTAGTACTCAGTTCGATTGGGCTCAGGGAAGCTGCAGTGTCAAGGTAGACGGGGAGTTCCGGGAGCTGCCACAGTGGAGCGATGGGGCCACATCATCCACAGCTATCATTAATGCTGTTCGTGTGCGACAGTTAGTGAAGCGTGCGGCACGGATCTTCGCGGTTTTCCTTGAGGAGGTGGAAGCTGAGGAGGGGAAAGGAGGGAGCGCAGCAGTTAGTGAGAAGGCGACTCTTCCTGCTGAAGTGAGTGCACTGTTAGCAGAGTTTGCGGACGTCTTTCCCGACGAGTTGCCCCCAGGGTTACCTCCCAGCCGAGCAGTAGACCATCGGATCGAGTTAGAGCCGGGGAGCAGGCCAGTAGCGAAGCCGCAGTGGAGGTTGAGTCCAGCAGAGACAGAGGAGATGACGCAGCAGGTTAGGCACTTTCTCGCACAGGGGTTCATACAGCCATCTAGATCGCCTTGGGCCGCACCGATCCTTTTCGCGCCTAAGAAAGACGGAGGGTTACGGATGTGCATAGATTACCGCGCACTGAACGCCGCCACCGTCAAGAATAGATTCCCGGTGCCGAGAGTAGAGGATCTTCTAGATGCAGTGCAGGGCGCTAGAGTCTTCTCCAAGATCGACCTTCGTTCGGGTTACCACCAGATTCGTGTAGTTCCAGAGGACCAGCACAAGACGGCGTTTCGTACGAAGCAGGGGTTGTACGAGTTTAGGGTTCTACCGTTCGGACTGACCAACGCCCCAGCGACGTTCCAGACGCTCATGAAAACAGTCCTCTCCGAGTTCTTAGGTTCGTTCGTTGTAGTTTACTTAGACGACATCTTGATCTTCTCCAAGTCGAAAGAGGAGCACGTGCAGCACTTGCAGAAGGTCTTCGAGGTCTTGCGGAGGGAGAAGCTGTACGCGAAGCAGTCTAAGTGCGAGTTCTTCCTCCCCGAGGTCGAGTTTCTAGGTCACGTCGTATCCGCTAGTGGCATTAGGACCGACCCGAAGAAGATCGCAGCCGTACAGGATTGGGTAGCACCGACCTCAGTCAAGGAGTTGCAGAGCTTCCTCGGTTTCGCGAATTACTACCGTCGTTTCGTTCAGGGTTACGCATCGATCGCTAGTCCACTCACCGACCTACTTCGGAAGGCTGTAGAGTACGTTTGGGGTCCAGCGCAGCAGCAGGCGTTCGAGCAGATGAAGCAGTCGCTCACGTCTTCACCGACACTGTCGTACCCTGATCCAAATCGCCCATACGTTGTAGTGACCGACGCTTCAGATCAGGCCATAGGAGCAGTGCTTCTTCAGGACCAGGGACGCGGGTTGCAGCCGATCGCGTACGAGTCGCGTAAGCTGAGGGGAGCGGAGTTGAACTATCCCATACACGACAAGGAGGCGCTCGCGATCATCCATGCGTATAAGGTGCGGAGATGCTACCTAGAGGGGGCAGAGAGTGTTATACGCACGGACCACTGTTCGCTTCGCTTTCTCAAGTCGCAGCCGCAGCTGAGTCGTCGCCAGGCTAGATGGATGGAGTTCATGGAGGGGAGCTTTCATTACAGGATAGAGTACAAGCCAGGCGTTCGCAACCCAGCAGATCCGCTCACTCGCCCTAGTTGCCAGCTCGCTAGCCTCACAGTCACTGCCGGCCATCCACTTCTCACAGCACTCTTCGAGCACGGTTACACAGTAGATCCCGACTTCACGCCACAGCCGCCCGCAGGAGCAGAGGTGCAGGGTAGTGTTTATACAGGAAGGGTACAGCACGGATTTGGGTTCCAGCCTACCGCCCTCTTCGACAGCTTCTTCTCTCAGAGGCGCACGATGTAGTTAGTGCAGGTCACTTCGGAGCAGATAAGACGGCTAAGACGCTTAGTCGCATGTGCTACTGGCCAGGACTTGCAGCAGATGTAGAGGATTACATTCGCTCGCGCGACACGTGTCAGCGTATGAAGTCCTCTCGCCAGCGCAAAGCAGGACTTTTGCAGCCGATTCCACCGCCCGACCGCCCTTGGCAGGTAGTTACGATGGACTTCATCATGGCATTACCGCGCACAGTTAGGGGTCACGACGCCATCTTCGTGGTAGTGGACAAGTTTTCTCGAGCAGCGCACTTCATCCCCACGCACGGCCAGGTCACAGCAGAGGAAGCCGCGACGCTGTTCGTAGATAACGTAGTCCGACTGCACGGGGTTCCAGATTCCATCATCTCAGACCGCGACCCTAGATTCACCTCGAAGTTCTGGAAGCAGCTTTTTGCACTGTTTGGGACTCGCTTAGCCATGTCATCTGCGTACCATCCAGAGACAGACGGACAGACTGAGCGCGTGAACCAGACGCTGGAGCAGATTCTTCGTAGCATCACGATGCACGACGCAGCAGCATGGGACAAGAAGCTGAGCATGGCCGAGTTCGCATACAACAACACGCACCACTCCGCCACAGGCATGTCACCGTTCTTCGCACTGTACGGTCAGCACCCCAATGTCCCCACTCGTGTCGATCTCACACCCACTGTCCCTCGTGCGGACAACTTCCACCAGCATCTCACTTTCATTCATGATCTACCATGTGAGGAAGCACCTTGAGCTTGCAAATGCACGCATGGCACGCACCACCAACCGCAGTCGTCGTGAGGTGTCGTTCGCAGTCGGTGACCGTGTCCTTCTCGACTGCCACAGGACAGCAAGCTTCGTCCACGTTTCATTGGTCCATTCGTCATTGAGCGCGCACTTGGTCCAGTCGCATACCGCCTTCGTCTTCCCGCTCATTTCCGCATGCACCCGTCATTCCACGTGTCTCTTCTTCATCCATACACCGATCCCAACTCCACCTTCTCGGGCCGTGATCGCACTCCACTGCCGGTAGCTGTTGACACCGACGAGCCCGACTACCAGATCCAGCGCATCCTCAGGCACCGTCGCCGTCTGCAGGGAGGTGTCTCTTTCATCGACTTCTTGGTTCGTTGGCGTGGTTACGATGCAGCCGACGACAGCTGGGTTCCTTCGTCCTCGCTGTCTCCCGACAACGCTTGCCTCCAAGCGTACCTTCAGTCTGCAGGCGCCGCGGACGTCGCCTCCTTGGGAGGGGGGTAGTGTTATAGGGGGTTTTATTGTTCATTCCGAACAGTACTTTTCCCAACCCATCCAACCTTATCTTCCTAGATTTCCATGTGCCACGTGGCACTCTACTTTTCTACCTTCACAATTCCTAGTCCCACAATCTACTTTCCAACCTTGTTTCTTGCATGCTATATCAACCTTGCTTGTAATCCCTCATATCAACCAATTCTCATTCAACTCTTCTTCAATTACTCAGTAACTCCTTCGCCTATTTCGCCAATAGTCTTTTCGCCAAAGCCTTCCGCCGCGTTTTGTCCTCGACTTAGTTGACCCCGCTAATCTTTAGCGGACTTAGGCCGTCGGGCCTAACAGTGGCGCGTAAAATTATCTTTATATATGAAATCAGATTGGCGCACGAATTTAGCGGGAAAATTGCAGTGAGATTGTGTAACAGCGCTACAGTGCCTCTAACGAGGGTAAGGAACTTCTTAAACATGTGATAGCATTGCATCTAGATGAGGTAAAGTTCCAAAATGGCAAAGCGGACTGTCCGGTCCTCGCTATTATGACTGGCCGGTACCAAAGAAGAAAAAGAAAAAAAAAGTGTAAAATAGAGCCACGCCCTAAGGGCATTTTTCCGGGTTGGGATAAGGCGCGTAACAGTTTCTGTTTCTGTCAAACGTCCGGAAGGAGCCTCGAAATCGTACGAACGGAGCTCCATTCGGACGATAAGGGATGTGGTTCTGACGGTTGGCTGGCCGGACCATTATTGTGACACTTTCTTGAGTTCCGAAATTTGAAATCTTGGCAAAACAGTAACGGACATAACCTACCCCGCATCGCATCGCCCATTTCGCAACAATGCAAAAGCGATTCGGTAATGTGTGCGACTTCCAACCTCTCCGTCCTCCTTGTGAAGCTACTTCTTATGAGTTGTAAAATATAGTTGTTTTCTCCCACCGACGCTTTGCAGATGTTTCTCCCATCGCTCGTCGTCGGTACGTAAGTCCCGAAGCTTTGGCTGCTCTTACACTCCTTTTTTCTGAAGAATTTCCCGAGGTGTATATTAAAACATCAGTGGGTCCTTGGTATCCCCGTTGTGTTTCTTGCCAGGTCTTCTTTGTTTACATATAGGCGACCCTTTAGGCGAAGTCCCCCAACAACTCAACCGCACTCCAAGGATCGAAGAAACACCTTCGACTTCAACATTTTTTTTTTTAGTTTCACCCCCCGACAATATGGCGAACCATCGTTCCCCCAGCGTCCGTGTTTCTAGGACGAGGCTTTTGTCGATGTTGCTCATGCGATAATCTGGCTACGGTGAAGGCGCAAAAAACTATCAGAGTCAGCGTAGCCTTAATAAAAGGTGCTCACACCCAACCGTTTTGAAGCCCACCAGCATCTCACTGTCAGAATATTATGCTCTAGCCTGTAGTGGGGTGCTCTGTAGTGAGTACAACCCTTCTAGGGTTTGCTATTTGTATCCCCATTCTTGCTAGTGCAACCCCCTCTTTCGCCTAAACTCTCTTGCCTAGCTAGGACTCTCCTAGCTATGGCTCCTAAGACTACCGCTTATCTTGACATGGTATCAGAGCTTAACGTTCGTGGCCTGTGGGCCCACTTCACTGCTTCCGCTGCTACTGCTACTCCCTGTCCGCCGCGCGCCCCGTGGTGCGCGGCGTCGAAACTAGGGTTTTCAGCCCGCCGTGCGCCCCGAGGCGCGCGGCGGTTTTCTGCCCGCCGTGCGCCCCGAGGCGCGCGGCGGTTCTCTGCCCGCCGTGTGCCCCGAGGCGCGCGGCGGGTTCCTGCCCCGTCACTCGGCGCGTCGCCCCCGGGAGGCGCTGCGACGGGCGACGGGGACCCGCGCGTCGCCCCCCGTCGCCCGTCGTGGCCTGCGCGCGGCCCGTACACCCGGCACGCGGCGCGCGGCCCGTACGGGCTGCGCCAGGCCCGCGCGCGGCCCGTACGGGCTGCGCCAGGCCCGCGCGCGGCTCGGACCGCCTGCGCGCGGTTCGGGAGGCTGTGCCAGGCCCGTGGGCGGCCCGTTCTTCGCTGCCCCTGTCCTCCCCGCTGTCCCCCGTGCTTCTGAAGGCGCCCCACCCCTCCTTCTGCCCGTTCTCCTGGATTAGGGTTTGGGGTTGGGGGGTATGGGGGTGCAGCTTCTGTGTGCCGTTCCCTGCTCCTCCTCCTCCTCCGTCTCCCTGTGCTGCAGCTGCCGCTGAGGGGGGTGGACCTGTTGGAGCCGTCGGAGTGGTACTAAGGGGGGGTGAAGGGGGAGTGGAGCTAGCGGTGTAGCAGCGGGTGTGTGTCGAGGGGTGTGGGACTGTTGGGGGAGGTTGAGGGGAGGTTGCCGTCGTGTCGTACGCAGCGCCTGTACTCCGGGGCACTCACTCCCGGTAGCTCAGAGAGCCGGTTGCGCCGTCGCCTGTGGGTCCGTTGCTCCTGCTGCTCGTCTTAGCCGCGGAGCCTGTTACTCCTGTACTCCGGGGCACTCACTCCCGGTAGCCACTGTGTCGCACCAGAGCCGTCTGTTGCCCGTGTGCCTGCAGCTTCAGTCGTCGCCTCCCATCTACTCTCCTCTCGCCAGCCCTCCTCCTCCTCACTTGCCCGTTGTGACTACCACTAGCTTTGCTCATAATTGTGAACTTTAAACTATTCCTTCTTGAACTTGTGCTCAGAATGTGTGGTGACATTGTGATCCACCCTGAGCTTGTACTGCTTTGCTTGCTCTGCTGATTACACCCCACTTTGGCTATGGGGGTGTGTCAGAATATTATGCTCTAGCCTGTAGTGGGGTGCTCTGTAGTGAGTACAACCCTTCTAGGGTTTGCTATTTGTATCCCCATTCTTGCTAGTGCAACCCCCTCTTTCGCCTAAACTCTCTTGCCTAGCTAGGACTCTCCTAGCTATGGCTCCTAAGACTACCGCTTATCTTGACACTCACGCCACCAAAGTCTACAGATACTGAGTCTAGCTTCGCCGCTGCACCGTCAACCGAATAGACACTTGGGTCAGGAGGAAATCAACAGTCGTCGCAGCTCCCCGTTTTTCTCATGCTGTTTCACCCAGCCCACTTTTGCCGGAGTAGAACAGTGCCACGAACTCCCGTTATTTTGTTTCTTTTCTCTATACAGATGTCAAACGAGCACCAACCCAGGGGCCTTTAACCATGTCTTCGCCCCCGTTATTCGGCCAAGTAGGTTGACTGCATGAGTCAGAACCAGGACTTGGCGGGGACGGTGAGGTTCGGGCGACGAAGGATCATAGGTCGTTTCCACAAGCTTTTACCCTGCTCCTCGCGTAGTTCTCCAACCCCCGCGTAGCTTTCATGTGTCCCAGCAGCCTGTACCACTCTTCTCCGTAAAGGTCGGGGTGGTACCCTGAACGCCGTTTACGCAAAGGTCGTTGAGGCTATCCCCAAAAATGCCTTCCTCATAGGAAAATCACTCTCGATATTGCCGAACATCTGTCAACAGCACCATGCACGCAGCGTCTTGCGAGTTTTCTTCGAGGTGTATTGGCTCGAATTACCCTCGCCGACAACGTTCCACTCCTCTTAGCCACGACAATTTTTCTAACAGCCCGTAAGTGTCGACGGGACTAAATTTCTGGTCTGTCCACGTGCACTTTTGCCAAAATCTCCGATGACGCACCCGCCATGCAGGAAAAGTAGTTGCACTTAACAGGCCGGGCCGAAAAGCAATTGACCCCCGCGTAAGTAGGGCAGTTTTCATGTCGTCCCTCTTTGCCATCGACATCTTCAGGCGCAAAACTCCATTTGCGCCTGGCGAGTTCCCTCTTAAAACGTCGTTTTTTCCAGAACCTCCAAAAACTCGCGAGTGCGGAGATTAATTCTACAAGGTGGGAGCTAGACAAATGGGTTGGCACAAGTTCTAGGAGTGATCGTAGTTGCCAGCTTCTGATCCTTGGCACTTTCACATTCACGTTAGAAATTGGCAAGAGTTTTCACTAACATAGTTGCATTGCAAAATGAATGAACAAGCAATGGCAAGAATGACTACATCAGAGCCTAGCAACCTAGCAACCAGGCAGGTCGATCGCCAGCACAGCATGGTCGACCGCCTGCCAGCGTTGCGTAGAGGAAGTGCGACAGTGTTGCAGAGGGGCGACCTGCCAATAGTGCAGGTCGACGGCGTGCCAACGCTGCAGCAAAGTGGTCGTTCAGCGTTGCACTCGTAGATGACAGCAGCGCGCACGCTCGAAGGTGCTCGCAAACGATTGACCCGACATACACTGTCACATGCTCGTCGGCTGTTGTCGGCGCCTAATTGGCCACATCGACTTCGGGATAACCGCTCGAAGTCGCCTTCGCCATTGCAGCCTTGACGACATTCTTATGCCTCCGCAGAACCTCGTGAGCAGGTTACCTGGTCGACCGGATCGACCACCCAATTCGCTCCTTGGTCGACAACCTCCCTTGTTGACCACCGCGCCCGTCAAAGACCCCTCCTTTGTTGGCGGCCCGTTCGTCGAACAGCTTGGTCAGCTGCAGCCATCGAGCTCCC